TTTAAATATGCAATAACAGTCACAGAATTGTCAAGTCATTTTTCCATAAAACTCTCTTAACAAAACTGCAATTCAAAAAGTGTTTCTGTATCAAAGGATGTAGTTTCTTTTCCCCAAAGAAATTACATGCAAATACCCATAAGCTTCACTATTTACAAGGTGACAAAGACAGATGAGAAGGAAATGACCTCAAAGAAGAGAGCCTCACCCTCCCCAAAAGTCCCAAATATGATTTAATGAGAGTCAGGACTGCAGAATGCTAGGCTGAGTGGACCAAAGGGCTGACTTACAGCAATTCTTGGGATTTTATAAAGTCCTGGAGATGTTTGGAACTCTCATAGAAATGAAAAAGCCCAGCCAGTTAATAAACAGAATCATTTCCCAAGTCATGTTTTAAGTATAAAACATAATTTCTGATGATAAAGGCTGCATGCAGGCCCTCATTTAGTTGGCGTTTTACTCAATAAAATGCTGGGAGCACTAGCTGGACGGAGGAGGAATGGGGCCTGTGCATGTGGCGACGGAATCCAAGCAGCTTTTCCTGTTTCGCTAGAGCAGATCATGACGGGTATTTGAGCATGATTTAGTGAGATCTTTGTTGTAGAAAATGAGTGACCCCATAGAAGCGGGAATGGGAAGTGCATTTAAGTGCAGTCACAGTCTCAGTATCTAAATCGTTTATATAAGGTCTTGAAATCAAACTGTTTGAAAAGTTTTATTTGGTAGCAGAAAATATCTACAACTGGAACTTTACAAAAGAAGTGCACGAGGGGAGAAATTCATACATAAGACTTTGCTGTTGAAATTTGGGATGATTATCGACAATCAATTTAGGTTACAAGAACTCACACAAAACTGTATCTTTTTATGTAAAGGAAGCAGAAGCTTGTTAATCCCTTGACTAAAAAGTTTATTGAAACTCCTAACAGAAATTATACTGAATCTAAGTCTAAAGAAAAAATTAAATTATTTCAAACTGTAGTAATATATAAACATATTTAGACAGATGAAAAACAATCCTCTCAATAACCTGACAAATTATTTTCATCAAATCAAGCCCATGACGTCTATAATATTCATTTATACCATGGCTTTTTATCTCATAGTTCAGTTTTAAAAATTATGTAAAAATCTGCATATAACAATAGATGTTGACAGTAACTGTTATCATAGGATGTATGTCTCTTTCTTGCTCTGTGTATCCACTTGATTTGGTCATGTGTCCAATCGCTGTCATAGACCTGGTGGCTTACCTGACAGTGGAGGGCAAGATCTACCAGAATAACCCCAAAATAGGACCAGGAAGGATCAGCCTACCTCATTGTTTCTAAAGCATCAAAGGCTTTGTAGTCATTCGAAATAGTAATACCAACACTTTCAATGGGCCAAAAAAGAGGCACTACGAGTGTCTGGGAACACCCAAGAATTGTGATCAGTGTCTACAGCATAGAGTACAAGCATAAAGTAGTTAATATTTTAACAAAATATAAAAAATACTGTTTTCTCTAAAAGTAAAGCAGACAATTTCCCACTAGTAGAAAAAAACAAACAAACAATGGTGTTCAGTTTCCAGTTTAAATGCATTTATGAATAGGAAGATGTGATCCCCATTAATTAAACATAAAACAGTCCAGAAGGAATTATGACCTTAATGTACAGGTATAGCAGTATTTCTATATCAAATTAAGTTTAGTCTATGATTAAATACAATGTTCTCTCTCTCCATATACATACCCACACACACACACTTATAGTACCTTTATGGAAGTCTCTAAAATGGTCACAGTAGCTTATATAGTATTGATAAAGGTAAAAATGTATAAGCTAGAGTATAGGTAAAAAACACCTTTTACAGCTTACTAAGTGATACCTTGTATGGGTTAAATAGCTTAAATTCTTCAAGTTTGAATTTTGATTTTTGAAAGCACTGTGCTTTGGCATTCAAACCTCCATGAAATCTTAGTTTTTCAAAATAAAGAATATAGGTAGAGAATATCGAATATGTGGGAGAAAAAACTTCTGATTTGTAATATCAAAATTGTCCCATGTTTAACCAGTAGTTTTTAACCCATTCCTGATGAAATCCACCTTCCTGGAGGTGAGTTAGAAGGCTTTGATTCAAAATTTATAAGTGCTTATTTTAAAACTTAATAAAAATGCACATTCTATGTGTTACATACACTATTTTACCACACTGTAGACTGCTTATGTGTTAACTTCCAGGATAATTTATTTTTGTATAGACCTTGGAATACAACTTCAGCTATCTCTAATTAAAGAATCTCCTGAGATAAGTGTTTAAAACCTGTTATTATTTGCACTTATATTTGTATGAATCAAAATTTTCTTGATAGTATGCAAATAAAACAAGGCATAGAAATAAATTGGCTGCTGGTTTCATCAACTATCTATAACTCCACATTTGTATTATTCAGAAATAATTCAGAAATCATATTATGCTTAGTAATGGCCCAAAGTAAGTAACGTGAATGTAAACTAAAAATACATTTATACTAATAAAATGAAATTTTCAGACTTTATGTATAGTTGTTACACATAAAATTTTATTTAAAAAAAGATTCTAATGCTAAAAAAAGTTTGGAAAATACCACTGTATAAGAAACTATCTTTCAACTTAAGTCATTAATACAATGTTTAATGTGATTCAGTTTTCCAAAGCAAACTGCCTTTCTAATACATTTCCCATTCTTGAATTACTCAGAATAATGGGAATATTTCTAAAAGTTAGAGTGCTGATCTTCAAAAATGCCAAGTAACTTATAAAAATTTAAGAAGCAATTAAACTAAAAACATTCATAATTGCTTGAGACGCCTCCGATGGGCAGCTTTAAAGAAAGATGTTTATTTTTGAATTAATTATACATTATTGTGTTTTATTTATTTATTTTTTTTTTTGAGACAGAGTCTCACTGTGTTGCCCAGGCTAGAGTGAGTGCCGTGGCATCAGCCTAGCTCACAGCAACCTCAAACTCCTGGGCTCAAGCGATCCTCCTGCCTCAGCCTCCCGAGTAGCTGGGACTACAGGCATGCGCCACCATGCCCGGCTAATTTTTTCTATATATTTTTAGTTGTCCGATTAATTTCTTTCTATTTTTAGTAGAGACGGGGTCTCGCTCTTGCTCAGGCTGGTTTCGAACTCCTGAGCTCAAACTATCCACCCGCCTCGGCCTCCCAGAGAGCTAGGATTACAGGCGTGAGCCACCGCGCCCGGCCCATTATTGTGTTTTAAATCTCAAAATATATTCATCCTCCAGGTAACACAATTTAGTATCTTTATATATTAACTGTGCTGTGTGTTTTGATAGTTGCCTTTATTAAAAAAATTTGTTTTGTAAAATTTGGATTCAGTCAAAAGGCTGCACTCAAGGATCCAGAAGGCCACATGTGGCCCCCAGGCCACAGGTTCCCCACTCCTGGTTTAGGCACATTTCAATGATTTTAGATTTTATTTTGTGATTTCATTATAAAACAGCTTGCACACCAAACTCAAACAATCTTTTTTTTATTTAAAAATTCACCTCAAAATTCACTTCTGGGTTTTAGTTTTTGTTTAAAAAGAAACAGACATTTAAAAGCATCACATGTTACTAGTCTACTACAATTCATCTTGTTATGAATACTTTTAGTTTGTGAACTGGGGAAATAAACCTATTACATTGATTAGGCACAGTACTGTGGCCAACAGGCCAGAAATCAGGACACATCTGTGTACTCAGGCAACAGTCAGAGGTCTGAATGGAGGGAGTTATGCCTTAGCTGTGGGCACTCCTATCTCTGCCCCCTCCTAAATCTGTTAGTAAGTCTCAAATCAGTATGTAAGAGACTATATGTAACTTGGTTAAAAAACAAGCAAACAACTATACTGCTTTCTAAGTTATTTTGCAAAGCCAAGACAGATGAATATAACTGTAGCCTCACTATCATTTGTGGTCTTGCTACACATGTCACAGGACCATGTTACAGGTGAGACAGAATTATACCGTCCCTCTTGTGGTTTCAGAAATTTGGTGGGAAGGGGTCTATGACTATAAGATTTCACATTACAGCAAGGCTCCAATATTTCTTGAATTGGGGCAGTGAATATAAATCACAGTACAAAATCTTTAATTCTTTTATAGGAAAAGCAACAGGTGCTACATATGAGAATCACTTACATAACATCTATTTTTTAAAAAAATGCAGATATAAAATATTAATTGCATAGGGATTTAAATATAAGGCCAAGAAGAATATTAAGTAAAAAAAAAAAAAAAAATCATAGAAAGGGCACTATGGTGTCAAAAGATAGGATTTCATTCTCAGAGTAATAAATCTGAATTACTGTCTAATTAAAAATCACAGTATGTTGCTATAACTAACAGTGAATGTCAATTGTTTCATTAATTCCAAACTGGAAACCAATATTAGGACTAACAAGAACACAACCAAAGCTCGTTGTCTAACCTGATCAGTGTATTAGCACATCAGTGCCTGGTACGTACCTGATTATTTATCTACCTTTTGCAAATAGAGTTTAATACATGTTAACAAGTACAAGAGCACATCATTGCTAAAGGCCATCAATGATTTGCAGGCTTACTTGATAGTGTAATTATCCAGTCTTTCAAAGGCGCAAGATCCTACCCAGCAGAATCTTCACTCAATGAACCAAAAATGCTGTAATTAACAAAATATAACAAAGTCCCACCATTAAAAATTAAATGCACATGAACCAGAGAACGAGGTCCTGACACTGGTACATACATTATCCTCAGCATTTTGGAAGGCAATGAATGATGAGTCCAACAATACTCTGTAGTTTAAGCTAATGGTTATCACCTGAAGCTTCCAGTGGAAAGCTAACTTGTGAATCTACCTCTCATTTTAATGTTGTTAGACTGTAGTTTATACAGCAATTTCCAAATCTAAAAGTAGCTTAGTTAACTTAGTACTGTTATATAAGGTAGTGTGAGGAAAAACAAGAACTCCCAAAGGAATTATGTTAATGTACACTGGGAATACCCAAAACAATGTTTTAAATGAAAAAGTGCATAAATACAGTAATACTACAAGTGTGTTAACTATAGAACAAATGTTTCTCTGGGAGCTAAACAATACTATTTTCCCACATTATTTACATGTTATGAATTGTTCAGATACCACAAAGCACCATATTTAAGTCTAAATTGCTTGATTATGCCTGAAAGGTCCTTTGACTTCAACTCTACTCATTTGAGGATCTACCTAGAGTAGAAGCATCAAGTCATCTTCAGACAGGATTTATCTTTACAATTCAGTTCTCTTTTGTTCCTAAGTGGCAAAGCAGTATTTTCATTTCACACCCTTGGTTGGTGTTTCTGATTCTGTGGACTGCCTCCCATCCGTCCAGGCTTCCCGGGTGCTCTTTAGAGCCAGGGTCTTCTGTTGGTCAACGACAACATAATCCACTCTCTCATCTGCTACACTGCTGCCTGAGCCACTGCTCTTTTGCTAGAACACAAAGAAAAAAACATGAAGTCCCCCATACAATGGAGTGTTTCTAAGTGAAATTCAGTCTTAAAACACGGACACATATGCGCTGTGAATGCTCTTGAAATTCTATTAGGTCAAAAAAAAAAATAACATTAACTACCTCAATTTAACAGTGTTGTTTCTCTCCTAACTATACATTATTTTTTCCCTTAAATTTAAAA